AATAATAATAAAACTATGGTATTGCACAGTTCCGATGTTCTTCATACATTTGCAAAAAACAATTTAAATTCGGTCACACTTAATTTTACGGTCCAGTTCTCGCTATTAACAAACTATTGACTATGACATTTGCCTCAATAAACTAAACTAATTTGCTGTTTATTAATAGTAAGGTAGTTGTTAAGTTCAGGTATTGTAGGATTAAGGGATCTAAAATATGGTCATGCAGAATAAGGCATTAATATGTGCTTTATAAGCACCAGTATGCTAGTAATATGCATGCAAATAAGCTACTAGTTAATAGTGAGAATTGGTCCTTAAACTAAAGTTTTACCCACTTATGTTGGTGCTGCATAAGTGGGTTAGAGTATGATCTTAATTCATTTAGAAAAAAACCCCCCAAACAAATCTACTTTATTTAAACTCATTAAATGTCTTGATTAATGCATATGTCTTTCCTGGGTTGATATCCAGCAAAAAAAAATCTCTCTTCAAAATGTCATTGAAGTAAACAGAAATGTTTCAAGCATTCAAGAGTGCATTTCTGTGCAACTTGCTGCTTCACCACCAAGGTATTAGTAGTTGTTAAGTTTAGGTATTGGGTAGGATTAGGGATGTAGAATATGGTCATGCAGAATATGTGCTTTATAAGTACTAATAAATAGCTGATATGTTAATAATAGGCATGCTAATAAGCAACTAGTTAATATTGAGAATTTGTCCATAAAGTGTTACCTTAAATTATTGTGCCACCATTATAGACTTGAAGGAATAGTTCACTCCAAAATGAAAATTTTATGTTAATTTACTCATCCTCAGGCCATCCAAGATGTAGGTGACTTTTTTTCTTCAGTAGAACAGTAAAGAAGATTTTTAGCTGAAACCGTGCTCCTAAACGGCAAGTTCATTCTTTAGAAGAGCTATTTTTTTATCTAGATATTTATAGTCAGCTAGCAACAGTCTGATAACATCTGTTACTGTAATGTTTTCTAGTGTTTGGCAAATCAGTTGTTCCTACTTGAGCACGCTATAACTAGTAGTTAAATCAGAGATTGTTTGGCTAGCTTGCTATAGAGTTTATCACCCTGTCAAAATTATATACTTCACATATAGGCTAACAGCTTACACCATAAAATAAATCAAGTTCAAGTTTGGTTTCTAAAGCATATTTAAAAATGACCACAGGCCGAGCAAAATGCTGTACAATAAAAGAATGAGTACACAATGAATGAGCAACAAACAAATTAAAAACATCAAAGAACCAGACAAAACTACATATTAAATGTTCTGAGACAGGATTTGAACTCCTATAGAGTGGAAGCCATTCTAATGT